ATAAAGGCGGATCCTGATGCCTCTACTGCTTCTTCGCCTCATGATTCTGAAGCGAGCTCATCTGTCATTCGGATGAATAATTCCTTTGTAGTCAGCCCGCTTATGCGTGTATCGAATAACGTTGATTTCGTTGAACGGTCTAGCAAGCCAGGAAGGAAGAGCATAAGTGAACTATTATGTAGGTACAGAGAGAAACTACAGTCGCTTTGGGAGACTGCATACACTTTGATGGTTAGTTGTCGCGTTCATTTTTATGCTTTCTTTTTGCTGTGGAGGGGTAGACAGTTTTTTTTAAGGATGGTAACCGACGATTAGCTGATGCTTTTATGATTTTACCATCAAAGCACGATTACCCTCAGTATTACGATGTCATTGAAAGGCCAATTGACATGATGATGATTAAGAGGAAAACAGATGAAGATAAGGTATAAGCCCGTATTTGAGATAATTACCAAGTACGCGTGATATAAGTAATGACCAGTCAGTTGTGGTTTTATTTTTTCCAGTATGTTTCGTCAGAAGAATTCATTGATGATATCAGGCTACTTTTTGGAAATGCAAGGACTTTCAATGAGCCAGGTTCTCAAATTTATAGAGATGCAACTACAATGGAGTCAGCTGTTCTTGCGGCATACAGTTCGCTGCAGGGTCTTCCTCTGTTGAATCCGCTTCATATGAAGTCTAAATATGGGTTAGTAGTCAGTAACTGGCGAACATTTATCATCTTTTCTTACCAAATGCACTTTTATTGTATGGGTTTTAGGAGTGAACTTGTAGTAACTAGAAAAAAAGTGGGTTGCTTTTCTGTTCTGTGAGACTGTAGACATATATTAGCAGCTTTATGTATGCATCATCGTTCTGAACTATAGTTAATCACTGTTTTTTGATTATCAGTAGTTTGTGCACTTCTGAGCACTGTTGGGATTTCTAGTCAAATAATTTTTTTTTTTCGTACGAAGACTTTCGAGCTTTTTTCATGCTTAGAAGATTTTAGAAACTCGCCTGCGAAGTTTTCAACTAGTATTAAACGCAATCTGAATGGGAGCGATTCTAAAATATCCGCTTCATTCAACTCTCTAATGACTGCACCTTTGCGGCACAGTGGAAATAACCCTAACCATGCAGCTTCCACCTCTTCTGGCTTGCAGCAAACACTGATTGAGCTTTTTAATCTTCTCAAAAGTTCTCGTGATAATAAAGGCCGAGGGCTTGCCGAAGCGTTTTTGCACTTACCATCGAAACTGGTAAATTTCTTTGCCGCACTTTCTTTTTTATTGCGGATGATTACCGTTTATCTTTTATCGTAGGGATTTAGAACTGAATTTTCGAAGTTTACGAGGGAAAATTAGACGTGTAATGCGTTTAATTTAGTTTTAGAGTCCTTGTTTTCATTCCTTCTTGTTTTTTCAAAGTTCTTTATCCAGCGTCATTTTTTAATTTTCCGGATGTTTTTTTCTGCAGTATAAAATTTTAGGAGTATCCAGACTACTATGATGTTATTAAGAAGCCAATTGATTTTGCTAAAATCGGTTCTCGCATTTCTTCTAATCACTATGACAGTATTGATGCCTTGATCTCTGACTTTACACTCATGTTTGATAATGCCTGTAGATATAATGAGCCGGAAAGCACGATATATAAAGTCAGATTTTAATATTTAATATCAAAGGCCATTTTTGCGCTTGCATTTGGCAATTACCGGTTTATTCTTTTGCTTTTATGAGTTGCATTGATTACATTGACAGTAAAAGGAATTACACTTTTTTCTTTTTTTCAGGACGCGCTTTCCTTGCAAAAATTAGTTCTTCAAAAGAAGCGTGAACTATGTAAAAGTACTACGAATGTTGATGTGGCTTTTGAAATCAGATCTCTTCTGACTTCATTGCTTGCTTCTGTAACTAACCATCAGGTAACGGCTTATTCTGACATTTTTTACTCCTTAAAGCCACTCATTTAGATGACGTTTACTGTTTGCTAATGAAATATGATGCTTCTGTAGGATCGTGATGGCCGGTGTTATTCTGATTCTTTGGCAGAAGTTCCTTCATTGTTGAAAAAGCACGGGAAAAAGCCTGAAGAAATTCCGTTTTCTTTAGATCAGATGAAGAAGAATATTGATAAGGTCTTTTACTTTTATTATTTATTGTGAATTTTCCACACTTTGGTTAAAAGTTTTTGAGTTGAAGTTGAGCGTCCCTAAGCTATGTTTGATTCCAACTTTTCTGGTCACTGTCCACTTGCTTAGGAAGTGGTTTTCAAAGAGTACTTAACGTGCACTGGTTTTAAGTGGGGGTTATCATCACAGCGTCGCTCTTCCGCACTCTCATTACTGTTATTTCTTTTTTAACTTGCATGGTAACTGTATTTTCGCGTTTTCTAGAGAAGGTATCGTCGGTTGGACAGATTTCAAGAAGACCTTTTCTCTTTGTTTGATGCAGCACGCGAAAACAGCAGATCGGATTCTCAAGTAATTGCTTGACCAGATTTCCTAAAACTTGGTTTTGAAAAATTAAACTCCGTTCGCTTACTTTCAGTTATTCGAAGATTCTGTGGAACTACAAATGCATTACATAAAAGTCCGTGATGACTTAACAAAAGATTTCCTCATATCCCCAGCACGTCATTACACTGAGCGTACTTTGTTAAATGCTGTTACTGAACTGAGAAAACAAAAGCTACCTGAGGAGAAGAAAGCGGATGATATGAATGCTGAAAAGCAGTCGCTGGGAACGAAAGCAGTAAGTGTTTTACTGTCAAAGATACTTTCGCTGTGAATCTTTTATTCCATGGCTGATGTTTTTTCTATTACTTTTTATGTGAGTGTAAGGTGGGGTTGGGTCGGAGGCATGCCAAGAGCTCGCCTTCCGCTGTAAAAGAAAAAGATATGCTGTAAAAACCTTTTTATTACGGCAAGCAGTCTTTAGGAATGATTTTGGGATTTATTTGTGTTTAAGATATGGAAAAATATGGTTAAATTTTGGAGGTTTGCACTTTCTTTTGAAACAATTCAGTTTTTTTTCCTTTCTTTGTCAGATGTTTTTGCTTGCCCGAATCAGGCTAACTTTGTGTTTTTTGTCAGTTTTTAGAGACTCACTAATGAAGATTCACTTTTGTCGTGTCGCATTGATCGTTTACTTATGCATATTTTTTACAGCTGTAACAGAGCTGCCGTCTCTTATCTTAATATCCAAAGTTGGGATATTATTATTTTCTAAGTAAAATCACTTTTTATTGTGCTGAAACAGAAGTAGACTTCTGTGTCTGTTACGGCAGGCTTCATTTATTATCTTAACGCTTACGCATGAGGTATATCAGGGTGTTTAGGAAGGAGATATTGATTTGGAATCAGTTGGTCAAGGTGGCTCTGTTTACCGGGTCCATGACTATGCTTATGTTGCGCCAGCGGTGGAGGAGACGTCTAGTAAAAATCACATTATGCGTGTTGAAAGGTTGTTCAAAAATAGCGACGGTGAAACTTTTGCACGTGGATTTTGGTGCTATCGCCCGGAAGAAACTTTTCATTTGGCTACTAAGAAATTTTTGGAAAACGTGAGAAATGCAGACTTTATTTTATTAACAAAGGGATTTGTGATTTACATTAAGCCATCGAAAGAAGAGTAAATCAAACGCTTTCCAGGAAGTCTTCTTCACTTCTTATTTCGACACAGTTACTGTCGGTCGTCTGGTTGGCAAGTGTCACGTTATGTCTATTAGACAGTATATGAAGGAGAAACCAAAGGTCATCTGCAATTTTTTTTTTGTTTTCAAGGTTTTGAATAATTTATAATTATGAGCTTTGCGATTTAGGGCTTTGAAGATAAGGACGTTTATGTTTGCGAGTCGCGCTACATGGGAAGACAACTGCATTTCAAAAAAATCAAGGTGTTTGTTTATTTCAAATGCATTGCTGTTTTGGCGGATTCTTTTAGATGAGTTTTTTTCAAAGTTTTCTAATGTCTTATAAACACTGGGACTTTAAACGTTCTTTAATTGCAGCACTGGCCTTACAAGAGTGAGGATGATAATGTGGAGTTTGAGAAACGTCCGGAACCACTGACGTCAATTAATCGTGTGGCGTCGGTGTTTGCGAGTAAGCCACCACGAGCGAATAATTTTGATGCTCAAGATGCTGATGATGAGGTTATTCCTTATGTATTTCATTGTTGGGAGTTGCTAGTCATTGCAGTTTGCGGAAGTGTGCCGCAGCATTATCTGATGGAGGAATGTCTGCCGTGTTGATATAATTTGAGACATGTGCCTTCTCCTTTGAAATTTTTTGCAGGATATTTATTGTCATATTAAAGGTAGTCTTTGATGTTTAGGCTTCTCAAGAATCTTCTTGTTCATCCACTGATGACGAGTACTTGCGTAATTTGCCACCAGTCCTCGATAAACAACGTGTTGAAGTCATTGTGCCACGTCAGGATAAACAGAGTAATTAACTCTGCTGTATGAAATAGTCTTTCTTCCTTCCCTTCTCGTTGTTGATTGAATATATTTATTACAGACTTAGATGAGGTTGAAGACGCAAAAAAAACCTTTTACGAGCAAATGGAACATTTAGGACGTTGGTATCAACTTGGTGATTTTGTTCATGTTTACAATCCTTTGAAAAATAGGACGGTTGTTCTTCGGATTGACAGGATGTGGAGGAATACAGAGTAATTTTTTCAGTGTCTGTTATTGATGAAAGCGAGGTTAATTCTCTTTGTTCTCTGATTTCTTGATTTCTTTATTCTCAATTTCTGTAGAAGCGACGCAATGTTTTCTGGACCTTGTTTTGCGCAGCCAGGTGAAATTGAACATGAGCCTACTCGCATGTTCTACAAAAGGGAACTGTTTGCTGTTGAGCAGCCAGATGTAACGGTGCCAATGGATAGTATTCAGGAGCAGTGCGCTGTCCTGTTGTTGAAAGATTACATGAGAAGTTAGTGACTCACATTTTTTCGGTTCTGATTAGAAATAGCTTCTAATTATCTGTCTTCACCGAAAGTTAATTTTAAGTGAGGCCCACTGAAATTGATGAGTCGCTTGTGTACGTTGTGGAATACAAAGTTTCTGGAAAGGAGGCACCGGGAAATCATTGCAGTTTGCATGGGACTGCTTTTTCTGCTGCGAAGAAGTCATTGACTACAGATACTACAGATTCTAGTGTGCATACGGCATCTAATTCTGCACCAATTAAAGGTGAACAAATGAGTGAAGCATCTGCGCAGAAAATTAAGACTTTGAAGGTGAGTTCAACAAAGAAATAAGCTTTTTTCATCACAGTTAAAGAAGTAACCTTCTAAAGTATATTTTAGGTTTCTCGTTGAAATATTCAAATTTTAGCTTTTTTTCATCTCTACCGCCTCTGAGTAAATTAGATTTCTATAACGTGTCGCTTAAAAATCTATTTTTTCGATCTTTGATGCTGCAGGTTCCAAGCGTCCGTTGCTTTTTTCTCTCTTTCTTAACGAGAGTTCTTTTCCTAGTGGGGTCATTTATGGTTTTTCATGCTTGAAATATATAGGATAACCTATGGTTTTTGCATTTAGTTTAGTAATTATTGTTCTTAGTTCGGACTCGTAATATTTATTTTCAGCTCCTGCTGTTTTTTAATTTGAACTTCTCGCCTTCGGCTCCATTGATTTCTCAGATTTTATTTTAACGTTTTGATTGAAGATACTTGCAAGTTACTGTAGAGGATTTGTTTGTTAAACGTTTTCTAGGATGATTGATTTTTCGGCTCACTTGTTAATCATTCACAATTTTCTTCGACATCTTCGACACTTTTCATTATTAAATTTTTGCTCGTTATCGTAATGCAGATTAATGTTAAGGGGTCCAGCGTTTCATCTGCTGGATAGTTGTCGTTTTGAAGGTTTTTGGAATCTCTTTTGCACTACAAACTTACTGGAAGTTCCTTGAAGAAGGGGCCACATTTTCTATGACCAGTATTTCCTTTTTAAAAGGACGTTTTTGGAAAGACCTCTGCTGTTAATTAATTCTGAGGTGCTTGTTCTGTGGAGCTTTTTTTGTCGATCAAATCAATTTTCAGTCAAAATCATCTTTGAAGTAACTGAAAGGGGACCTTGGGTTTCCCCTTTTTGTCGGCACTTAATCACTCGGTCATGGGCAACTTCATTACAGTCGCTATATTTCACTCCTTATTGTGAAAATTGTTCTCAATTAAATAGAGTTGCCGAGAATGTTGTCATTAGTACTGGATGTAAATTTCAGTTTTTTGATAGGAGTACAATGTTCATTTTCGTTGTTCTTTTCCGCCAAGCTTTTAGGACGGCGGTTAGTGTTAGTGACGTTTAGCGATGCGACGTGACGTCACGCGGCAGTTTATTTGACAGCTATAGCGAGATGACCGTGGGAAGTGGGAAGAAACGAAAGAACGCGTGCCTTTGGGGATACCCCTTTACTCCTTGAGCAAGCAATGCCACTATTGCGTGTGCACGTATTTTCGGTAGTGAGACAATAACCCGAGCATAATAGTAGTTGCAATTAATGGGATGAAGTCTCTGTTCGGGTTTTAGATAGAGGAATAACATTAATTTGATACTTACAAAATATAGGGGCAGCGAAAACCCACATATTATAAAGTTTTGCATTCTTGATAGCCCCCTCGCTAATTGAATAGCTTTAATGGCTGCTTCTGGCGCTCATTCCTTCAGGGTTGCGGTTTTTAGTGATATTTTACTATGGCCCTCAAGGTTCTTTAGCTTAGAATTAACCTAAAATTTTGCTTCGATCCAAGTACGCATCTGATTTCCTTTATTCGCGAGCGTAGATTTCTTATCAGCCCATGAAGGCTTTTGAAGATTGATTCATTCAGCATTTAGTTGAGGTCGTTAGGAAACTGAGGTAGAATTAAAATACGCTGGTCTTTTCAAAAAAACTTTCATCGGTTTAGAGCTGTAAGTTAAGGTAGGTCACTTCATTAAAAAATTTCCACCATAATTGAAGAATGTTATTCTTTTACATCAATACCAATTCTGCTGCCGCAACGCGGCAGAAAAATCGATTTTTCAATATGAAATAATATTTTTAGTTAGATTTTTCAACTTCTTGTTTTGTTTTTCTCTAGCCTGTCCCATTACTGTTGTTAGTCTTCTTTGTTTTTCATGCTTATAGTGAAGGAATACCTTCGAAAGAAAGTAACTTCTCGTTAAAAGCATGTTGGACACTAAACTTAGGAGGTATTTCATTTCTTTTTTCTTTTTTGACTCGCGCAAGTTAAGAGGAAGTTTCTCTTTGCGCGAATAAACATCTGTCATAGTGAGTTGGAAGTTCCTCATGGAGTTCAGTAGTACCACCTAACCGGTGTTACCGCAAGGAGTGCAGAATTATGCTTTTGAAAGCAAATATAGTTGGTCTACGGTTTTTGAATGCAGCATTTTTCTTTTTGCATAAAATAAAAAAAGACTATGGATAGTTTGATAAGAACACATTACACAGTTGAATAATGGCTTTCAGAGGTATCTTTGGTAGGGGAAGTGTAGAGAGAGGTCCAAAGGGGCAATCGGTGGCCAGTGTGTAAGAAAATACTGTGAGACGCAGGCATTAGAACGTGGTAGGGGCAACGTCTGTGTTGTTTTCTTTGTGTCCTATAATGGAGAGCATCGAAACAGTGGGAGATGTATTAGAGGCCAATCTCTGTGTGGTATATCTCTGGACCACTTTTCACCTTTCATTTGATACGCCTGGTAGAGACGCCTGGTGTGTGAAGAGAGTTAGTTTGTTAGGCAATGGAAGAGTGACTGTGGAGTTTAGGTGTTAGACGTGAAGAGGAAGATGGGGCATAATGTGAGTGGTGAATTAGAGTGTGTAAGTGTTTTTTTTGTTACTACATTGCAAACGCGGCTTATGCATTCGCGTTATATCGCAAAGTTTTGTTGCCCGTTAGTGTATCGACGCTCTGCATTGCTCACATCACCATCACAGTAATTGACTGAATGCAGATGAGTGAGAGCTGCTCTTTGCCTTTTTTTTTTTTTGTTGTTGTTGTTTTTTCATTTGGGCGCCCGATAACGGGCACAGGTTTCAAATTGACCGGCGGCGGTTGCGGAAAGTGGACTCTCGCATGATTTTTACGGAATGCACTTAGCGCAGTGGGATTGACTTCTGAATCACTAATTTTTAGCTGCTGGTACACTTATCACTTTTTTTTTTCGAAGCCGTAGTACAAGTACTGTGGTTGGCTGAAATGTTTCATTTACTGTTTCCAGTGTACCCGTGCAGCTACGTTAGTTGCTTTTCTGCGCTCGTCGTCAAATGAATCGGATCATCTAATTTCTTCTCTATTTTTTGCTTTCTCTGTTTCTTCCTTTTTTTTTTTTCGTTTTGGATGTGCAGATAAGAAGACAGGTTTAAGTCTTATTTTGTCTGCTGATGATGCACTTCGTATTATACTGCGTTTGCTTCACTATTTTCTCTTATATTTGATTCAGCTTCTGAATCTCTGTATTTGTTGCACAGATCCTTAGACGTATATATTCGTATATATGCAGTTATTTGGTGGCTGATGCGCAATGAGGAACTCTAAAGTGTTTATTATATGGTTTTTCCTGATTTCATGATTTGGCAGGAATATTAATAGGTCTTGGGATTTTTGGTTAGTTAAAAGAACTTGCGGTAGATACGTGAATGAGCCATATTATTTTCAGGCGTACCATCTTTCGGCCGAAGTCCTCGAGCACGAAATCTTGCTTTTTAAGACGCCTATCACGATGGAAAAGGTCTGCTCTTTGTTATTTTATGTATTGAGTTTAATGTCATTTGAAGACGCTTTTTTTTTTGTACGTTCTTGTGCTTTCTCACTATGTGGTATTCTGATTACCTACAATCTCCTTTTGAGAGTTCGCCCTTATAATGTTATATAAAGCATATCTTTTAACCGGATTTTTTTGCAGCTGTTGTGTCCTGTGCTTTTACAGTTTAGTTTTTTTTTTTAACGCATGACAACAGTTCATGGTTACTGCTTCATTTTGTCGAATTTTGTTCCTTTAGAATTTTCAGCAGCATACAACTAAATTTCTTTATCCATCTTTCTTTGCTTTATTTTTCGAATTATCTTTTCAAAAACGCTGCTTATTAATTTACAGGAGATGTCGCCTTTATTAATGAAGGCAGACTCTTCAGCAGTGCCCAGTGAACAGGCAGATGACATGGATGAGACTGCTTCAGAATCTCTTGATGGGGGTGAACCAGCTGGAAAAGTAAAACTTTGGTACAGTATAGAGTTTTTGAAAGATTTTTAGTGAGTAACTTATTTCATTTTTCAGCAAGAGTTGGTGTCCTGGTTAGCTTCGCAACCGAAGTTAAATGCCAGGTCGAAGAGCGGTTACATTCTGTTTTCTGCTGAGATCAGGAAAAGGATTATGCAAGAAAACCCAGAAGCTGGTTTTGGTGAAGTCAGCAAAATCGTTGGAATTGAAGTATGGCCTTTCAGTTCTGGCATTTCCTTGGTAGTTTGTGTAAGGTTTAAGTACTATGCGGCTGATATTAGTAGTTTCATTAAAATTATTTTAGTGGAAAAAATTAACAGAAGAGCAGAAGAAACAGTATGAGGTGAGAGCTGAGTATATTGCTACCGAAAGGGCGAAGCAAGAGGCACGAGAGCCGCAGCAGTTCAGGCTACAGGTACCTTTTTTTTTAATGAGTTTTTTCTGCAGTAATTTGTTGTTTTATGCGTAGCTTCACGTATGAATTGTTTTAATTGTTTTGCATTGCAGCCGGGGCAGATCCGTGTATTTATGTGCAAGTGGCAAACTTGTGATTTTCAGTTTGATAATGCCGACTTGTTGTATGAGCACGTGAAAACTGCTCACACTTCACAAATTGGTGACTTTTTATGATAGAATTTTTTGCAGAGTAACTTTAGTGTATTGCTTACCATTCGTTTTCCCCACTTTTTCTGCTTGTTTTGTGAAATTTATTACTGATTTGCTTAGAATCATCGCAAAATTTGCTTTTTCAGTAGATGGGGAGAACCAGTTTGTATGCCTTTGGACGTCCTGTTTGAAGTACAGGAAGGAAGGAAAGTAAGTTTTCTTTTAGTCTAGTTACTAAATGTACTTATTCACGCTCCCTCCCCGTACTGTGTTATTTCATTATTTTTTTCTTTTTAAGGCCATTTCCCTCACTACCTCGATTACACCGGCATATTAAGGAAAAGCATCTCAGTTCTTCTGCAAAATCGATATATCCCAACCAGAGGAGCAAGTCAGTTTTTATAGCGTTATTCATTCTGCTGTTTAACTTTCAGTTTTTCCCTTCCTCTTTGCTGAATACATTTTTCTGACACTAGCGTTTTTTTGCTAGTTTGTTCCTTTGTTACGTTTAATGACTTTTTGCAATTTGTAGGAATTTCTACACATATCAGCAAGTTTCTACAACGGCAGCGGCTCCAGCTACTCCAGCAACACCTGGAACGACATATATTGCTGTTCAGCAGGCTACACCGAATGGCCAACAACAGTATGCTATTTCGCAACCTCCTGTCACAGGATACGTAACTCAGGTATTTGCCAAACACTGTTTCCTCTCATGCTGCTGCTCTGTGTTTTTTTATACATTTTTCTTTTTTTTTTATTATAGGCTGTTGTGGCTTCCTCAAACCAGATTGTAACGAACGGGTTCGTTAACGGTTCTGCGACGGCTTATGTTGCCACCGCTACCCCTACTGTAGTTCACGCAACTGCTGGCGTCCAGGCTTATCATCCCTATCCGCAGCAAGTGCGGCAGGTATGTTGCGAAGATTTGTGTAAACGTTCTAGTCGAATTTCTAGCGACTTTCTGTACTTGTTGTTCAGGTCACCACTGCTGCCCAGCAGATGGTTGCCACTGGTACTCCACAGTATACAGCCGTTGCCGTGCAGCCTGTTGGTTATGGGACGGCATCAACTTCCCAGCAACAGCCGCAGGCAGTACAGCAGCAGCCCTCTTTGCCTTCTCAGAATACCTTTATTGGGGACCCAGGACGTTCTGTTGTTCAAACGTCACGGGTACCGGAGCCAGTGTTCGTTGCTCCCCCTAACTCGATTCAAGTCAAACGGGTACTACATTCTGAAGCTTATCTTAGGTAATTCACTTAACTGTTTGATACAGCTCATATTGTCGTTTTTTATTTCAGAGCTCTTATGTTTCTTCCTAAATTTCATTTCCAGGTATATTGAGTCTTTGCATCATGGATCGCAACGCACCGTTAGTAAGTGGAACAGAAGTGTATTAATTAACCGTAGGAATTTAACGTCTCAGAAGCCTCTTCCTTTGAACTGGCTTAAAGTACTTATTTTTGTTTTTCTTTTTTCAAAGCTTTTCTACTCTTTTGGCTCACTAGCTAGTCCTTCGCTTTCTTCTGTTAAGTGTAGTAGTTTTAGGATGCCAGGAGTAACGGAATGAGGGAAGAGGAATTGGTGAATGCACTGTGGCGTCTTCGTGATCACCTTATGCAAGACGTTGCAAATATCTCATCAGGAGTTTGATCTTTATAGTTTTTTTCGCCAGTGAGCTTTAAATGATGATTTTAAACTTTTTCATTAGCTTTTCCTAGTGGCCTTGTGATTGAGCGGAAATTGGTTTGAACTCAAGTTGTTAAATGCTTTGATTGGAGAACTTTTTGATCTACTAATACATTTTTATCAGGCCGTTTGGTTGTAAATCTGTTTGCAAGCATATCATTTTGAGCATAGCACAAGTTTCTGCATAATTAGTGTTACAATATTTGGCTAGGGAATTACGAATTTGTGGGTTATTTGTTCACTTTGAGAAATCGTAAAGATCGGAAGGCGGATATTGCAGCTTCCAAGCTGCGAAATCTGGGATTCGCGAGTTTCCTTCTGTTTCTAAACAGCTTTTGCCCTAATCCATAATGTGCTTATCTCAAAAACCGTGCTACCGGTCAGTTTCCTCTGTTATTATACGGGATGCCTGTTTTTAGTGAGTTGTTTTTCATGTTGAAAGCTTCATTATGGGGCTTTTTGTGTTTATTTTCGCACACTGCGTTCTTTTTTTCACATTCTGTTGTAGTCCTTTATTTTTTAGCGCAGTTTTAGCTTGCAAGACTGAAGGATAATCTCTGTTTGACCTATAAGAAACCTCTGTATTGTTAATTTTAATGTAATGCATCTTACAATGTTATATTGTTCGACAGCGCAGTTTTTGGACTTTCTGTAAATCTTTGTATTTTTAAACATTTTTGTTATGCCAATTTGTCTCTGCGTCATTTTTATTTTTTGTTGTTGTTGTTGCTTTAGCAACATTCAGCAATCTATGGTCTCATATCACTTGTTTATTAAAATGTTCCTCATCTCTGCTCGCACTTCTTTTGAACAGTTTTTTTTTTTTTTTTTTTCCAGGAGGGGGTTTACATGTTCATATTTTCAAAGCGCATTAGTAGTTTAACAGCTTACAAGTCTCTTGCATCTAAAGGGGAGGGGTGTGTCATGGTTTCCTTGGTAACCAGCATGGCTGCACTCCTGGTTTTGTTAAAAACTGAAGCTGCCTTGCATCTCGATCTTCCCTCAAAAGTCTCCTGGCTTAAACTCTAAAGTTCCCCCCACTTTAATTCACAGTTCCGTCTCGCTCTCACGCCTTACTATTCCAGACAGGTTACAAATTTTAGATTTCACATGAAGCATTACTGCTTTATCCCACACGCGACTTTGTGCTGGGTAAAGTCCTACCATCTTCGGTTTTTAGGGCAAGAAGTGCTTAGGCACTGCGCGTACTCTGTCAGGTTCTCCGTAATTAGGATTTGCGGCTGAGAGTAAGTGGCTGCTTAATATCTTACTGCAAATGGCCCAGAAACTTAAAGAGATTCTCGGACCACAGGATGGGATTTTGTCTTGTGAGGAAGAACTTGCTCCGGTGTTTTGCAAGCCGAAGCTTATACCGCTAAAGTCGATCACAGTAGAGAAACTCGAGAGGATGCAACGCGATGCAACTGAGAAGGCACAAGCTGCTAAAACTGCTGAAAACGACAGCGGAGTGAGATTTTTATTAGTTTCGATCCCTGTCCAACTTCTAATTGATATTTTCAAAGCAAAGGCATATCAATAGGTATTTTTCAGGAAGGGGATGCTACCGACCACACTTCTACGGGGCAGAAAGCGAAGCCAGATATATGGTCATCTGAGCAGGACATCTAACGTTAACACTAACTAAAGATTGTGACTATCAGTGCTTCTAGAAGTGGAATATGTGAGTACCAAAGAACTACAAGAAACATTTTAATGCGTATTATTTCTCAATAAAAATATTTCACAAATTAAGTTTCCTAATCTTCCACATTGAAGCAAATGGACTTCCTCAGTCCCAAGTGTGCGCCGCTGGCACACAACTTAAACCCGTGTGCGGTTAGCGAACCGTGAGGTAAAGGTAACAAAGAACGGCGACCGACGACTTGGCTGGGACGAAGGCCTGCAGTGAACTTCTCTCCAACACGTTTGTGTCCTTCTTAATTGCGTGGTGGAGGTATAGGATAAGATTTTTGCACAGATCTCCATTCTCTTTCCGACCTTTTGAAAATTCTCTGCCTGGTGAAATGCCCCAGTTTCTGCGTTTCTCGCAAAAGCTTCACAGATTCCCTAAATAATTTGAAACCTATTCAACAAAACCGGCAGAAAACATGATTGAGCAGCAGACACTTGCTGAAAAATCAGAAGAATGAAAACGCAATGCAATCCCGCAAGACGAACACGAAAAGTTGTTATGTTCTGAATGCCTTTTCGTATTACTTCAAATAAAGATGGCTGAAAATGCAATGTACCTTTGCGACGGCGGTTTCAAAATTTCTGCGAGATTGCACTCAAACTTTGGCCATCGTAAATCATTTTCACTGAGAGCCGCAACGTGAACCACATCCAAATCATTTAGTAGCAGTTGAAAGATGTTGTTTTTCTCTTCTCGCGAGATAAATGTTTTCATTAGAAAGTAACTAAAGCCATCAATTGAAAACATGCAGTTTCCAGGCAAAAAACTGTTTGTTTTAATTGGCAAAAACTGTTTTACTCATTCAGTGGCAGTAACTCGATTTACTAATCGATTGATTAAACCAGGCTGTTTCGGTTTTAAAAATCAACATTGAGATCGAGAATTGAAAAAGTCTTTGTAACAGATTCAGCGGAAGAATAATACTAAATTTCACAAGCCCAATCTCACAAATTTTGCACCAGTCGACTGACTACTAATACTTAACTGAAGCAGTTAAATAAACTGTTTTTGATTTTTACTCAACCAAACAACTATGAGCAAGCAGGCTTATGCCTAATATCAAGGTTGAATGATAACTGATTCAGGAGAGCTATCTATCTTTAAAGGACAACTGTAAGCTTATTAGTGGATCAGTGCAAATACAAACAACAAATTTCGGTTAAAACTAACTTCGACGTGTAAACCGGTTCTCTAGTTTGTTTCGTTAAACGTTTGAAAGGCAAGTCTCTATGACCAAGGCTTTCGACTTTTTCAATTATTGCCCCGTGGTCCATTAGCATTAATGCTACTCGTCTTAAGGTGTTGAAAAGGTTATCCTGGTATTAAAGAACTGTAGAAACGTTGCAACATCAGCTAGGAAAACTATGTGATATACGTCTTGTAATAACTCCATGAAATATCCTTACGTGAAATGAACAAAGAGTAAAACTTTACCTTTGCTAGAGGCCTCGTCACCAAGGAAAGTTCATAGTAAGGCATTGCTTAAGGCAAAGTCAGCTATCTGCAAATCAACAAATGAATGAACAGGCAAAAAATTTCAGACAAATTTGTCAATTTTCAATATTATTTAACCAGTATCATCTTAAACGACCACTTCTAACCAACAGTTACGCACCGACTATTTAGCACTCTAGAGCTAAAAAAAAGCAAGAGATATACCTTCTCCCACCAGTAATTGCTAATTTTAAAAAGTATGAACGAACTAGCAGATAATTTAGTACCGGTAAAGAGCGATAAACTCGAGGAATCTTTTATGGCACTCCGGAAGGAACTTAAAGAACCACGGGAAGGTTTGGAATACTGCCAATTTACAGCTTTTCAGGAGCCAGTTTTGAAATTTGAAATTTTATTTTGGTGATATTTGTTCATATCTGGAACAGCTTACATGGAACCAATGCCTGTTTTAGAGTGGTTGCGGTTATTATTGGTTTGCGTTATTAAGTTGTCATTTCATTTTGTATAGTGCGTCTGTTAAAATAAAACAGAAAATTTGGTAGGCATTTTGGATAAAGATCTCTGAAATGCCTATAGATTTTAAAATCTTTTTTTACTTATCAGTTTTTAAAGTTAAATTCTGCAAAACTTTGGGTTATTCTAGTTAACTGTAGCTTATGCGGTTAAATAGGCAGTGGTGCCTATCACCTCGACGTTTAATTATTTTTAAAAGCCCCTCAAAAGTTAGTGTTTGACAGTTGCCTGTACATCTACAGTTGTGAACGAAATTTAAAAAGGTTGTTAAAAAGTGATGAGAGCGTTTCATTTTGACTACAGAAAGCTTCACGTGTTAAATTTAGTGGGGGTCGAAATCACTGTTGACGATGCAGGATGTATTAATTCAATGTTATTTTACTGGCGAGGAGTACGATATATAT